AATTGTCTTTAGTCGTCTTATTAAGAAAGACGTCAGATATTTTAAATGTATCATGCCTTTGTCCAAAGGAAAAAATTCCATTGGCATTCTCTGCAAGTTCAGGAGGGAGACCGGCGTACATTATTACAAAGAAATGATCGAGCAACTGCGTGAGACTAGTTTAAACTGGATAAGTATAGGAACATGCCTTGGAATCTCCAACCACAGGCAGCCCAAGCTCCAGCTGTGAGATGATCACCTTGCGAAATAGCAGTCATAGCGAAATTATAAGAGTTTACTTAGAGGGAATATTTACGACCGCTGTTAGGAATAAAAAAATACAGTCAAATTCTCAATAAAAATACCTCACTTTACCTCCGCAGTGCATCGCCTGTTATCTGACCGCTTACTATGTTTTCTAGGTTTACTACACAAGAACGGCTTGTCTAATGTTGCAAACCTAGAAATGGATAACTTGCTGAAATGGGTTCTTTTAAAAATAGCAAGCGGTCAGATAACAAGCGCTGCACTTTCATGTTACAGGCAATCTAAAATGTGGGGCTAATGCACAAATTGGCAGACATTTGGAATTGATTAGGATGGTTGACTGTGATTATGACTGATATTGAAACAGAAAACAATGTTTATTGTGCCAGAGTCACACAGTCAGCTTACAGTAATTACACAATAGGATTGACCCTCTCTCTGACGATGGAAACAATGGAATTAAGCACTTTCTGAACACTGTGACGATCATTGAAAGTTTCAATATTGAATTTAACATTTATCAGCGTCTAATCAAAATTATTTTGATATTTCCTTTGATGATAATGGAAGTACTTGTACATGATCATTGTTATCCCTCCCTCACATAGGAAAGTTTAATGCAGACGCTGTGTCAATTAAAACATAAAACATTGTGAAGATCAACCAGTGAATAAGACTGAAGTTATGCTGTTGTGTTCGAAGCTTGTATAATGAAATGGTAATAATTTTTTTTCAATAGTTTCAAAATTGCACCGAACACTAAGAGAGGATGAAAATTCTCATGCTTCACGATTTGCCTGGAGGTTTAAAATGAAAGTAGTGACATTTTTTAACGGCTGTTACCAGTATAATTGACCCTTAATGATAACTTCAAGTATGACACCTGAATTTTGATGTAATCTTGATGGATGCTGTTATTTTCACTGATTTATCATCGAACCATTTTCACTTTTGTAGATGCATTTATTTGGTGGTGTAAGTAGTCCACTGAAATCAATGTAGTATTTAGTGCAATTTAAAATTCAGGCATTGATCTCCTAGAAGACACGTAATGGTAGTAAAAGCGACATGTCACCTTTTACCCCGAGTTTTCGCATTCCAAGGGGCTGACAATTTAATATCTTGTTATGTTATGACCACTTACACTTACTACTTAAAGTCTTAGTGATATTAGAGATCAGCTGATAAAATTTTAATTTAGAGTTTGTAGTCTTGAAACTTGCATATTTTACATTCCTCTCGAAAGGCTTTCTAACTTGTAACCAAACTAACTGCCAGTGACAACTGTAATGACATTTGAATAGATATAAATTTGTGACCTAATTCTTTTTTTTTTTTCGGAAAGTTTAGAAAATGTCATCAACAGTAACTTGTATTCTGTGTTAAAAAAAGCCTTATACCAGTAATATGAAAATGTTATGCATGAAATGAAAATTGTAAAAACTAAGAAGCAAATTTCAAAGTATTCATTTCAAAGCATTCTGAGTTTTCATTTCAAATTGTTCACATCTTCCATACTCAACAATACTACAAAACAGGCTTGTTCCTCTTTCATTACATTAGTGAATTCCTCAAGCAGTGCTGGGTATGATTCATATGTAGATGGAAGTTCTAACAATGGTCTAAATGTTCTGGCAAAAGGACGTCAATGCTGCCCTTCAAGGACAGCAAAGTGCACATCTATGTTGTGTACGTACAGTGATCACATCACTACCAGTGCAGATCCAGAGAAACCTGGGTAAAGATTTACAATTCAGTGACTCTATAAACCGTTTCAGTTGTTCAAAGGATATCAGTTCTGCTTCAGTTGGTTGTTCAGCATATGAAATTGCCTATAGAGCATGACTCTATAAACCGTTTCCACCAGTTGTTCAAAGGATCAGTGACCAGTTTCTACTTCAGTTGGTTCTTCAGCTGGAAAACAAACTTATTAATTTGGCATTGCCTATGATTTTAGGCGATTCTCATAAGGCTATCAGTTGTTGAACGAGCGTTTCTACAAATTGCAAAAGAAGACATAATATGCTGGAGAAGGACAGGTTATGGAAATCTTGGCATTGCCTATAGAGATGTTAGCGATTTTCATAAGGCTATCAGTAACCACTCTGCAAATTGCAAAATTAAGACATCTTGGGATCAAAGGGAGAAGGACAAGGCACTTATGGAAATGCCTATCTTGGCAATGCCTATCAGATGTTAGGCGATTTTCATAAGGCTATCAGTTACCACGAGCGTGATCTACAAATTGCAAAAGAATTGGGAGACAAAGCTGGAGAAGGACGGGCTTATGGAAATCTTGGCAGTGCCTATCATGGCTTAGGCGATTTTCATATGGCTCTCAGTTACCACGAGCGTTGTCTACAAATTGCAATAGAAGTGGGACACAAAGCTGGAGAAGGACTGGCTTATGGAAATCTTGGCAATGCTTATCAGATGTTAGGCGATTTTCATAAGGCTATCAGTTACCACGAGCGTCATCTACAAATTGCAAAAGAAGTGGGAGATAAAGCTGGAGAAGGACGGGCTTATGGAAATCTTCGCAATGCCTATCAGATGTTAGGCGATTTTCATAAGGCTATCAGTTACCACGAGCGTCATCTACAAATTGCAAAAGAAGTGGGAGACAAAGCTGGAGAAGGACAGGCTTATGGAAATCTTGGCAGTGCCTATCGGATGTTAGGCGATTTTCATAAGGCTATCAGTTACCACGAGCGTCATCTACAAATTGCAAAAGAAGTGGGAGACAAAGCTGGAGAAGGACGGGCTTATGGAAATCTTGGCAATGCCTATCGTGGCTTAGGCGATTATCATAAGGCTATCAGTTACCACGAACGTTGTCTACAAATTGCAAAAGAAGTGAAAGATAAAGCTGGAGAAGGAGGGGCTTATGGAAATCTTGGCATTGCCTATAAAATGTTAAGCGATTTTCATAAGGCTATCAGTTACCACGAGCGTCATCTACAAATTGCAAAAGAAGTGGGAGACAAAGCTGGAGAAGGACGGGCTTATGGAAATCTTGGCATTGCCTATCAGATGTTAGGCGATTTTCATAAGGCTATCAGTTACCACGAGCGTCATCTACAAATTGCAAAAGAAGTGGGAGACAAAGCTGGAGAAGGACGGGCTTATGGAAATCTTGGCAATGCCTATCAGATGTTAGGCGATTTTCATAAGGCTATCAGTTACCACGAGCGTCGTCTACAAATTGCAAAAGAAGTGGGAGACAAAGCTGGAGAAGGACGGGCTTATGGAAATCTTGGCAATGCCTATCAGATGTTAGGCGATTTTCATAAGGCTATCAGTTACCACGAGCGTCATCTACAAATTGCAAAAGAAGTGGGAGACAAAGCTGGAGAAGGACGGGCTTATGGAAATCTTGGCAATGCCTATAGGATGTTAGGCGATTTTCATAAGGCTATCAGTTACCACGAGCGTCATCTACAAATTGCAAAAGAAGTGGGAGACAAAGCTGGAGAAGGACGGGCTTATGGAAATCTTGGCAATGCCTATCAGATGTTAGGCGATTTTCATAAGGCTATCAGTTACCACGAGCGTCATCTACAAATTGCAAAAGAAGTGGGAGACAAAGCTGGAGAAGGACGGGCTTATGGAAATCTTGGCAATGCCTATCATGGCTTAGGCGATTTTCATAAGGCTATCAGTTACCACGAGCGTCATCTACAAATTGCAAAAGAAGTGGGAGACAAAGCTGGAGAAGGACGGGCTTATGGAAATCTTGGCATTGCCTATCAGATGTTAGGCGATTTTCATAAGGCTATCAGTTACCACGAGCGTCATCTACAAATTGCAAAAGAAGTGGGAGACAAAGCTGGAGAAGGACGGGCTTATGGAAATCTTGGCAATGCCTATCAGATGTTAGGCGATTTTCATAAGGCTATCAGTTACCACGAGCGTCATCTACAAATTGCAAAAGAAGTGGGAGACAAAGCTGGAGAAGGACGGGCTTATGGAAATCTTGGCAATGCCTATCAGATGTTAGGCGATTTTCATAAGGCTATCAGTTACCACGAGCGTCATCTACAAATTGCAAAAGAAGTGGGAGACAAAGCTGGAGAAGGACGGGCTTATGGAAATCTTGGCAATGCCTATCAGATGTTAGGCGATTTTCATAAGGCTATCAGTTACCACGAGCGTCATCTACAAATTGCAAAAGAAGTGGGAGACAAAGCTGGAGAAGGACGGGCTTATGGAAATCTTGGCAATGCCTATCATGGCTTAGGCGATTTTCATAAGGCTATCAGTTACCACGAGCGTCGTCTACAAATTGCAAAAGAAGTGGGAGACAAAGCTGGAGAAGGACGGGCTTATGGAAATCTTGGCAATGCCTATAAGATGTTAGGCGATTTTCATAAGGCTATCAGTTACCACGAGCGTCATCTACAAATTGCAAAAGAAGTGGGAGACAAAGCTGGAGAAGGACGGGCTTATGGAAATCTTGGCAATGCCTATCAGATGTTAGGCGATTTTCATAAGGCTATCAGTTACCACGAGCGTCATCTACAAATTGCAAAAGAAGTGGGAGACAAAGCTGGAGAAGGACGGGCTTATGGAAATCTTGGCATTGCCTATCAGATGTTAGGCGATTTTCATAAGGCTATCAGTTACCACGAGCGTCATCTACAAATTGCAAAAGAAGTGGGAGAGGCTTAGGCGATTTTCATAAGGCTATCAGTTACCACGAGCGTTGTCTACAAATTGCAAAAGAAGTGGGAGACAAAGCTGGAGAAGGACGGGCTTATGGAAATCTTGGCATTGCCTATAGGATGTTAGGCGATTTTCATAAGGCTATCAGTTACCACGAGCGTCGTCTACAAATTGCAAAAGAAGTGGGAGACAAAGCTGGAGAAGGACGGGCTTATGGAAATCTTGGCAATGCCTATCAGATGTTAGGCGATTTTCATAAGGCTATCAGTTACCACGAGCGTGATCTACAAATTGCAAAAGAAGTGGGAGACAAAGCTGGAGAAGGACGGGCTTATGGAAATCTTGGCAATGCCTATCATGGCTTAGGCGATTTTCATAAGGCTATCAGTTACCACGAGCGTTGTCTACAAATTGCAAAAGAAGTGGGAGACAAAGCTGGAGAAGGACGGGCTTATGGAAATCTTGGCATTGCCTATCAGATGTTAGGCGATTTTCATAAGGCTATCAGTTACCACGAGCGTCGTCTACAAATTGCAAAAGAAGTGGGAGACAAAGCTGGAGAAGGACGGGCTTATGGAAATCTTGGCAATGCCTATCATGGCTTAGGCGATTTTCATAAGGCTATCAGTTACCACGAGCGTCATCTACAAATTGCAAAAGAAGTGGGAGACAAAGCTGGAGAAGGACGGGCTTATGGAAATCTTGGCAATGCCTATCAGATGTTAGGCGATTTTCATAAGGCTATCAGTTACCACGAGCGTCATCTACAAATTGCAAAAGAAGTGGGAGACAAAGCTGGAGAAGGACGGGCTTATGGAAATCTTGGCAATGCCTATCAGAAGTTAGGCGATTTTCATAAGGCTATCAGTTACCACGAGCGTCATCTACAAATTGCAAAAGAAGTGGGAGACAAAGCTGGAGAAGGACGGGCTTATGGAAATCTTGGCAATGCCTATCATGGCTTAGGCGATTTTCATAAGGCTATCAGTTACCACGAGCGTTGTCTACAAATTGCAAAAGAAGTGGGAGACAAAGCTGGAGAAGGACGGGCTTATGGAAATCTTGGCAATGCCTATCAGATGTTAGGCGATTTTCATAAGGCTATCAGTTACCACGAGCGTCATCTACAAATTGCAAAAGAAGTGGGAGACAAAGCTGGAGAAGGACGGGCTTATGGAAATCTTGGCAATGCCTATCAGATGTTAGGCGATTTTCATAAGGCTATCAGTTACCACGAGCGTCATCTACAAATTGCAAAAGAAGTGGGAGACAAAGCTGGAGAAGGACGGGCTTATGGAAATCTTGGCAATGCCTATCAGATGTTAGGCGATTTTCATAAGGCTATCAGTTACCACGAGCGTCGTCTACAAATTGCAAAAGAAGTGGGAGACAAAGCTGGAGAAGGACGGGCTTATGGAAATCTTGGCAATGCCTATCAGATGTTAGGCGATTTTCATAAGGCTATCAGTTACCACGAGCGTCATCTACAAATTGCAAAAGAAGTGGGAGACAAAGCTGGAGAAGGACGGGCTTATGGAAATCTTGGCAATGCCTATCATGGCTTAGGCGATTTTCATAAGGCTATCAGTTACCACGAGCGTCGTCTACAAATTGCAAAAGAAGTGGGAGACAAAGCTGGAGAAGGACGGGCTTATGGAAATCTTGGCAATGCCTATCAGATGTTAGGCGATTTTCATAAGGCTATCAGTTACCACGAGCGTCATCTACAAATTGCAAAAGAAGTGGGAGACAAAGCTGGAGAAGGACGGGCTTATGGAAATCTTGGCAATGCCTTTTGCCTCTCTAGTAAACTGATTTCAGTTCAGCTACACGCTGTTCGTAGCTTAGGCAATTTTCAAAAGGCTATTAATTACGACGAGCGCCATCTACAAATTGCAAAAGAAGTGGAACAATTTTGGTTGACAAAGCTGGAGAAGAGTGGTAGTAAATGTCCGTTATATTGTATACTGAAACCAAACACCTCAAAATAATAATTTTGGAGGATGAGGTACCTTATTTCACCGGCAGGAAAGATTTGGCAGATATAGAAGATGCAACAGTAGACACTGAAGACAATGAAAAGACTTTGATCAAAAGGTATGGGTTTTTCTGCAATGATTCAGTTTTTTTGCCTTTCCCATGTTGTCTACAGAATTGTAAAAGAAGTTGGGAGTTAACTAATGGCAAAACAAAGTGCTCTGATTAAAGGACGGGCTTTATAAATGAAGTTACTTTCTTTTTTTTAATGCTTTAGTTAATAAAGTTCATGCTTTAGGCAATTTTACAAGGCAATCAGTACCGTGAGCGTCATCTACAAATTGCAAAAAGTGGGATTTCCCAGCTGGAAAATGCAGCAACAAATCAGATTTAACCAATTGTTTTAGGAAATCAATCAAATTGCAGAAAAAAAGAAAGACAACTTTTACAACATTTTACAGACCAGCTCAGTACTGGATAAATAACATACATGTATTTGTACCGGCTTTAAAAAAAATCTTTATTCATTTAGCAACTGAATTTTGCAAATTTAAAATAAATGTAATGAAGTGGTAATTGAACTGCCATGCTTTTTTAGTCTGAAATCATATTAGTGATTTGAGCTTTCTGCGATTTTCATGGAAATCTTGGCAATGCCTATCAATGTTAGGCAATTTTCATCTATCAGTTACCACGAGCGTCGTCACAAATTCAAAAAGTGGGGATGAAAAGTTTTGCCTATGAGTGTTAGGCGATTTTCATCTATCATACCACGAGCGTATAAATTTGGGAGACAAAGCTGGAGAAGGACGGGCTTATGGAAATCTTGGCAATGCCTTTCATAGCTTAGGCAACTTTCGTAGGGCAATCGAGTACCGTGAGTGTCAGCTACAAATTGCAAAAGAAGTGGGGGACAAGGCTGGAGAAGGAGAGTCATACGGTAATCTTATCTTATACTCTTAATCAATGCATATCAGAGCTTTCGCGATTTTCATGACTCCAACCTAAAATTGTCCTGGAAAATCAAAGGATATAAGTTTGTTTGAGTACTGCATCTACATTATAAATTTCAAAGCTGAAAAATTCTCTTACCGCTCGACCTAGTCTACCAAAGGCAAAGAACTTTTGCCTCTCTAGTAAACTGATTTCAGTTCAGCTACACGCTGTTCGTAGCTTTTGCGATAATTAATCGACAAGTTTATCACGGTCTTGCTTATTTAATTAATTTTGTCCAGATTTTACTTGGGACAAATTTGTCGGCAATGTGTTTCACGATTTGTCGGCCTTGGCCAAAATTTGTCAAAATTTAGTGATGACGAAAAAATTGTTTTAAATAAACAACTTTTTCGTTAGTGCGGAAAGACCCCATGTTGAACAATTTTGGTTGAACAGATATTGGGAATTAAGTGGTAGTAAATGTCCGTTATATTGTATACTGAAACCAAACACCTCAAAATAATAATTTCCCCAGCCAAAGAGGAGGATGAGGTACCTTATTACACCGGCAGGAAAGATTTGGCAGATATAGAAGATGCAACAGTAGACACTGAAGACAATGAAAAGACTTTGATCAAAAGGTATGGGTTTTTCTGCAATGACTCAGTTTTTTTGCCTTTCCCATGTTTTTTTTTTTGTCATGGATTCACAGACCATTGTAAAGAGCAGGGTTGGAGTTGCTAGGAGGTGTTAACTAATGGCAACTTTTGACAAAGTGCTCTGACTAAAGAACAACCCTCCGGACCTCTTTATAAATGACAGTTACTTTCTTTTATTTTATTTTCTTTTTAATCTTTAGTTAATAAAGTTCATGCTTAATAACTGTAATGCTATTAAAAATTTATTACATTCATGCTCAAATCACTGGTGATCCTTGCAATCTGATTGGTTCTCATTGGCACGATTTATTGATAAAATGCACTATTTTTTGCTCTAAAGTGCATCGATTTCCCAGCTAATGAGAAAGCTCCACGAAAGTACAGCAACAAATTAGATTTAACCGATTGTTTTAGGAAATCAATCAAATTGCAGAAAAAAAGAAAGACAACTTTTATAACATTTTACACACCAGCTCAGTACTGGATAAATAACATACATGTATTTGTACCGGCTTTAAAAAAATCTTTATTCATTTAGCAACTGAATTTTGCAAATTTAAAATAAATGTAATGAAGTGGTAATTGAACTTTTGCCATGCACTTTTGGTCTGAAATCATACTGGTGATTTCAAGTCTAATGCTGCTGCACAATCCTTTGATTCAGATGTCACGCGTATGATTTCAGAACAAAGTTTACTCCACCCAGTTCAATTACCATGTTCTACAGGTATTCAACATTTTTTTTCAGTGTTTCCATCAATAAAGGGGTACTTAATTATTATCAAAAATGATAGTGAATCATTTAAATAAATGTTTTGATTTATGATTATAACTTGAGGCTATTTGAGTCAAGGAAAAGCAAATTAATGGAAAAGAAAAGAAAAATAACATTTATTAGATCTAGTTTTGAAATTAAGTGTCAATATCTAAATGAGTTTTTCAAACTGCCAGTTTGCCACTTGCATTTTAAATACCTTTGTCATTGCTTACTCCACTTGGGAAAAATATCTTAAAATGCTGGATAATTAATTTCCTTTGTATTTCAGAGGAAAAATCGGAGGTAAGGAAGACTCATGGCACCTGAGGGAAGCTGGTGCCTCTATCAAACTTTGCAGTGGAGCTGTACAACAACCTGTGCCATTTACATGTAGATGCTTATTGTGGAACCCCAGGACCCTCTCCCCCTCCACTGCCAGTGATGAGATATTGGTTAGCAGTGTTATTGAAATATCTCATGATGGCCCACCAGATCTGGATTACAAGAAAAGTTTTGAAGGAATAAGTTTTACTGTATCTTTGATGCACAGTGCCCCATATTTGGAGGGGTATGAGGTGGTTATCAAGCAACTGACTGACCAAGAGAACAATGAATGGAAGGAATTAAAGACACAGAATACTTGGCATGGATCAGGTAACGTTATGTTTTTATTAAATACAGGTGTGAATAACTTAATGAATGATCATGATATTCCTAGGCTCCCTTTTTCACTGGCATCAATGTCAGCATTTGAGAAATGTGCAGCTCCCCCTCTCCTAACCCAAAATTAAACCCAACTTGTAACCCGAACTTATCAGTTGACTTAAGGGAGAAGGAGTAGGTGTGCAATGACTTAGATGCGGACATCTATCCCTGCAATGCATGACCTGCTGCACTCATAATGTCAAAGTAGACTTCTTGCTTCTTCATAGGCATTTCAAATCCAACTTTAGAACTTTTTTTTCGTTTACCCTTTAGGTGTATCCAAGCAGTACGTGTAATTATTGCACAAATGTTACATGAAGTCTCCAATGCATTTTAATCACTATAATATAAATTTTCCTCAATAACCATGTTGTTGCAAACTTTATTCTTTGAAGCATAAATATCATAATGACATCTGTTGGGGGTAACTTTATTGTTTGAAGACTTCAAAACACAGCTGAAGGATGCATTTCCAATCATTTATTTTTATATGCAGAAACTTCAACAGTTCCCAAGTGGCTTTTCCCATTTGCACAAGCTGTTTGTACAAAATCAGCAGTTTCTTCATTTGCTGCAGTCTGGCGTCCTAAGTCTTTCACCTTTTCAAGAGGTACTGCAGGAGGCCCGGAATTGACCTGTATTGTGCCTGACCTTCCTGATGTCAGTGTCCAAATTCCTCAGAGTTGTGTTCCTGTTTATCAAGATTTCTGTGTGACAATCAAGGTGCATGGAACTATAAAATTATATACATGCATGAGTCCTGCAACTTTTTCATTTTCCAGTTTTGAAAGTCATAGGATTGGCGTGAGGGGATTGTCAAAAGCAAGGAGATAAAACAAAGGTGTTGCAATAGTATAACCTGTACCCTCAGTTACTTGCCATACACTCCATGAACTTGGTGGCAATATTCATGGAAAGAGAGATATTAATTAACAACTTTAAGCTAAAATAGAGGACAGTTGGGCTTGTGCTTGCATGTGTGTGAAGATACATGTGACAAAGTTATAATCAGCAGTTTTGGTAACTTCGAATTATTTGTGGTACTACTGTCCCCATGTGTACTCATGGATCCTGGGCATTCCCTTTTTAAAACTAGGTTTTGGAAAACTCATTCTAAGCAACAAACAGACTTTTGCTTCGATATAAATGTCAAATTGAAATCATTCCTGTCAGGTAAATTGGTTTGTATTGGTTTGCAATTAATGCAATTAGTGGATGAAGTTATGCATGATATCATGATGAATTAGCAAAACCAAGGTCTGAGTTATCTACGTAAGCCGAAGACAACACAGACATAAGGTTTGGTGAGTTATGACATCATGCAAAAACCAAATTAAATTATTGTTTTATTATACATCTTTTAAACAAATTACGAAAGAAGACATCTCTTTAAATTTGCAAAAGTTTAAGAATACTTCACAGACAGTCAGGGCTTGGAAACTAGGCAGAGGTTGAACTCGACATGATAACTGCAATATCTGCGGTAGATATTGGGTTATTATGTTAACTTCACTCTTTACTGTATATTGATTGAGTGCTCTTGACCAATCAGACTTTTTATATTAAGTCCAGTGTATACATTTTTTCATAATAATGCTTATATTACTACATAAAACTTTGAAAGGACATTTACATTGTGTACTATAATTTTAGATAATTTCAAAATTTCATCCTGAAATTCACTTTCCACAATGTAAAGCAAATTATCTTTATGCTGGGAGTGGTTTAACATGCCCAACAACTTGTTTTGCTTTTAAATCCAGGTACAAGAATTCCCAAGCAGTGAGCTAAAAGGAGAGGGAGGACTTGTCGGTCCAGTTATTTACATTTCAGGCTCTCAAAATGTTAGTCTCATCGCGCCTGTAACAATAAGGATTCCTCTCACCTTCCGTAAAGAAAAACAAGAGTTGGCAGAGTTACGTCCCGGTGAACTGAGGATATTACAATGTGAAGCACATGACTGGAAAGACATTACAGATAAATTAGATGAACCGCCACGTCTTGTAGATGGGAAAGTGCAATTTAAAGTTAGGCATTTCTCTGGGTAAGTATTTCTCGTCGGCTTTATTTGAAAAATAATACGCATGACGTAGAGGAAATTCAAACGTATTTTAGTGTACAGTCATACATACATGGATTTCTTTTAGTTAACTATAGATTCAATAATTGAAATGACCACTCGAGTACGTATATACTCAAGATTACTGTGCAATGGCTGATAATCGTTTCCATTGGATTGCTTGAGCTGTGTTTGATTTTTCCTTTTCTTTTTCGATAGATTCCGTCCAATCAAGTTGATGAGATCACTTTTACAATCTACTTCGGGCTTCACTGAGTTTGTAGGAAAACTTTGCTATAGGTCTAGGCCTCAGCATGCCCGATTTTTTACGTGCTTGTGTGAGACCGGTGTTCGTGGACATTTTAAACTCAAACTTTTTTGCTATCCTCAAAGACTGTATTATGATGTAATACGGAAAATATCGGAATGTGTCGTACCCTACAAAGACGAAGGCTGCTCTTCTAAACCAGTTTGTGGAGAGGAGAAAATTTTGGTGTCTCTTTCCGAGGCTATCATACCCCAGGGCACAGACCAGAAAAATGCCCTGCAGTTTGTGAGGTATAATATAATACAATTTATTTCTGGCCCATCAAGTACATATGATTTAATTGAATACTTCTAGGTTACGTCATGCTAGTTTTACATAGAAATGATTTATTCCTTCCATTGTAAAATTGTACATTGTTCAACTGTCAGTGAACCATTTTTCGCCATGGCTTTTCTAGGTTTCTTATCAATCAATAGGGCCATGGAGATATACATGTTGGTTTTGTTTCGGCTTTATTGTCTTCAAATGCTCGTTTTTAAATATTCAGTAGGGCTCTCGTTAAATGTGCTGTCATTTTCGGTTGTAAGAAAAGATTTCAAAACGTGTGCTTTTCTAGACGAAGACTCGGCTGGTGTACGTTAGGTTTGCCTCATTTAAATTCATTTCATTTTTAACAGATTCCACGAGAACAAAGTTTATTACACAGGTGGTGAAGTTTGCTTAGGAAGTGAGAGTGTTCCAGGAGTGAAGTTTTGCGACCAAAATCAGCAACTTTTGTGCAACATTATCATGGTATTAGCGTCTCAAGTAGGTGACATCTTACGGTTTGTGGATTTGCTAATTAAATGCACTTTTAGCCCAGAGCTAATATAGTACTGATGCCAACCTTACTACAGTAGATGACAATTAATTAAAAGGATTAGCAATGTTTTAACCACAGGCAGCCCAAGCTCCAGTTGTGAGATGATCATCTTGCGAAATAAGAGTCATGGCGAAAATTTTAGTTTGTGTTGGAATAATTACGACCGCTCTTAGGAAGTAAAAATACAGTCAAATTCTCAATAAAAATATCTCACCTTACTTCCAAAGTGCATTGCCTGTGGTCAGACCGCTTACTAAGATGAAAAGAAGCCATTTTAGCAAGTTCTCCATTTTTAGGTTTCTTTCTCCTAGGAGTAGTAAAGCTAGTTTCCGAGTAAGATAATGAGGTCATTTAAGGCGGCACGAAACTTATTAAGGACGAATCACTAGAAACAAAACACTGAGGAACGTCGAATAGGTAAAGAAATGTCCTGCCCACAGAAAACAGTACATGAACATGCAGGACCTTGCAAATTTTTTATTTTGATTTTGTGATTACTTTACTTTTCAGTTGCTTTAAAGTCCCTTTCTATGCCTCTGCCTTTTTTCTTAATTATTTTTCCTTTTTCTTATTAATTAGTAAATTTCTTTATTTCCTCATTTCTATTCATCTCATACGCACCCGTAATATTGCAAATTTTCCTCCTCCATTTAGGTTTCTATTCCTGTCACCTCTGACTTTGAAGAAGGAAGTGGTAAGTTGTTGTTTTTGTTGTAGGTTTTGTTGTTGTTCGAATAAATACAATTTACTGGACTAGTCATCTTGTTCTAAAATATGTTGTTCGAATAAATACAATTACTTAAGACCAGTCATCTTGTTCTAAAATATGTAAATTCAGAAATGTAGGCTCTATGGGTTTTTAAAATGTAGCTTTTAGTGACAAAGCACGTGTTCTCAACGGAAAGTCATAATAACCTGCCTTACTTCATGTGTTAATAAATCGGGCCGTGCCCCCCCTCACGCTCAACAGTGATGGCTTATTGTCTCTGTTATGTATCAGTAAACTCAATGCAGACCACGGTGCGTGCGTCCCTCCTTGCAGGGAATTTGATGCTGAAAACGAATAAAGCACAAAACGGCTTGGGAAAGACACAAAGAAGTGTAATTCTCTAGAAATTATTCCGTTGGCTGTATGGTTAAAATGATGGAGTAACTCTGACAGTGATGAATCGTTTGCACCCGCTATTGCTTTGCAAATAAAATCTTAAATCGAATATTTTTCCATATAACGGCCCCCTTCGTCAAATTTGTCAATGCTCATTGTTACTTATAAGAGAAATCGACAAAACTTACCACTTTAATTTGTGAACGCTGGGTCATACCCGAATGATCACAGTCCAGGATCACCACATCAACGTTTCCGAACCATCAGCGCCATAAAAATTGCATTAGTTCTCAAGCCAGCCATCTCATTAACCCCATTATTCTGCAGGTATTTCCTCCCAAAGTGTGAAACATTCAATTGTAAAGCGTCCAAATTCAGAATCATCGTCATGCAGCCCTGTTGCAGCTCCTAGGAAGAGGATACGCCAATCTGCAGGTAGTACCGAGATTAAAAATGTCGCGATGGATTTTCCTTTTTAATTGTATTTTATTCAAGTTTGCATGTTGTTGTTACGCGTTTATGCATGGTAAAATTTGTTTATGCAGAAAGACTGGCATTATATTTCTTAGACATCTTCCTTACCCACTTATATAAGAGAATAAAAAATAATGAATTAAAAGTGGACTCTATCATTAATCCAACACCCCCAGAAATAGATAATGTATCTTATTTTTTTTATGTATGGGTTGGGAAAATGGTTTCCCTGCCGCTGCAAATGTATCCTCGCACAAGCTTGAAAATCTTTAGGGCAAACGATTCGGTATTGAATGATAACAAAAGGTGAGAAGTCGCCTTTCGCCACAACTGTTCGCTATTCGCCAAAGCCTTGAAGCATCCCTTTTCTAATTTTTTAATCTCCCTCCGTTGTTATCCTCAGGTATCTATGTGGTTAAAGATGGTGAACCATCAGATGAGGAGTTGGAATATCTGTCCAGGGAACTTGCAGGAAAATGGAAGACATTAGGAAGACGCCTGGGATTCAACGAAGCTGCAATAGATGACTTTGATCAAGCCAATAAGGAGCTGAAAGAGAAGGCTTATAAAATGTTAATGGCTTGGAAACAAAAAGTAGGCTGCGAAGCCACTTACAAAGTTTTGTACGATACCTTGTGTGACGAATTGGTGGAATGTAAATTTCTAGCAGAGCAGTATTGTTGCAATAAGAAAGTAGGAAATGCCTCTCCTTAGTCATATACTATAGAGACTGAGTCGTTTCTGTATTACGTCAAATATCTTTGTGAGTACTCTAAAGAGCGTCTGTGTCGAGCATTCGCGCCTAGTAAGTCGTTCGTTTTCCTCTCGATTTAACATAGGAGAAAAATTATCTCTAAAGAAAACATATTTACTCGTATTTTTGCACTCAAGAACCGCTAGCTAAAGAATGCTAAGGTCGGAATTCACTCAGACGTCCAGAACGACAGAGCTGAATAACGTCTGCGCATGCGCTACGCTTTGGCGCGGAAAACGAATTTTGAGTCGTTTGCACGTTCGATTTTCTATGCTATAGATTCTAGGCGTTTTTTCCTTGCTGCTTTTTTTTTTACAGAATAACTTCCAGAATAACTTCCAAAAACTTTGTACACCCCCTAGATATTTTCAAAATTTAATTTTCTTCTTAAAAACACTGGAAATAGGAAAATGCCTTCAACGACAACAAAATGCCTTGGTTTTAAATGACAGCCCTACTTTTCGCCGCAAATTTCGCTGAATTTTAACCTCGAGCGCTTGAGCCCGTGTTATTGACCGTATAACTGATGTAGCATTGCGTTATTTAGCTCTATCGTCCAGAACATGTGAAGCACATTACTACCCTCAAGCATCTTATTTCATACTTCACAGCTTGAAATTAGAATGTATTTTCTCCTTATTATTCTCTGTGCATTTCCTAAGGAACAGACATAGAGAATTGGTTTAACAGTTAAGAGCTTCTTAAGTTAGTGATCAGTTACTATATTCTCGTGTTCTTAATTTTTGATTTAGGTTGACACTGTAAGGAAAAATTAGATGCTAGACACTATTTGAGTTGAATTAATCGTTTGTGGTTAGCTTGAATTAACAGCGTAATTTTGTATAGAGTGAGATTCCCCTTGTCTCAGTGTGGTGGATAAGTATAAAACGTGTAACGGCCTTAGATTATAAAATTTGTAGATGCTGAGCTACCTTTTTGTTCTTAAAAAGTGTGAAAGTTCAGCAAAAATCAAATACAAAATGTCTCTTTCTCAGGCTTAACTCCCATGATTCTTTGTGGTTTATAGAGGTTTCGCCCCATTGAAAGTTCAACAACAAGTTCACCCCTGCTTCGACGAGTGGTCCCTGTCAAATATAATATAGATTTATATAGCCAACCCTAAAAGCGGAGTTCCAGTCAGTTTATTTTCCAGCCCTTCAACTTCTAAAAATTCCTATGCACTGGCTCTCGAAGAGTTAACGAGATGTGGAACGGAAGGAAGATATTCTCACAACTTGCAAAGTGATCAACATATCAACATGCGTGCTAGTCAGCGGTATTTTCAAGCAGCTGAAGACTTTCGTTGACGTTCCTTATTGTTTGAACGGATTGTCAAGAATATAGAATGTTTTCTTCCCTAGATGTCTGTATCGGTTGAAATGATATTTTATTGCCCGTGTTTGTTAATTTTGGTTTAGACAGAATGAAACGACGTTAAACGACTTCGAGTTAAGATCTAGATATCACCGGTCCATTAAAGGGTTTACACGCGGGATCAGTAGTCACTGAAACAATGTGCCAGAATCGTACTTAGCATCTCTTATACCTTCTCCTGATGTCGCCATTTATGACTGTTTACTTCAAAGGTTTTTCTCTAAACTGTCAAACTCCTCTGATAAGCGTAGAAAATTAGAAAGAAAAGTCACATTTCAACTCGAGTCGATGTTTAAATTCTCTTCTTTCAACTGCTCTGGCTGGAAAGACCGATGCTGTAATTGCATATCAATGTACATGTCTTTAAACCAACTATCCTCTATCCTGGCAACCCTAGCCACTGAAATTCTAAATTTGTCTACCATCTGGTTCTTACGCTGCGAAAGTTAGATTTCAATGAAGACAGGCTAGAGCTAGAATATCTTTGTGCATAACAGAAACTAATCCAAAGATCAATCAAGTTTTATATTTAGTTTTAAAGTTGAGTCGATGTTGTTATTGACCCATGAAAGAGATTCTGATATGGTAGCCTCTATGAAATTCTGTCCTGGAAACTGGAGTTGTGGCAACATCACGGTTACCATGAAAAACAACAATACATTTTATTGATCTGAAAAAGTATTCATTTGACCATCAACTAAGACTTTCACTAGTTCACTCTGACAAAATTTTAACATAAGAGGTTTTAAAAGGCTTGAGTATTTGTTAAAATTGGCCAACTTGATGCAACAACTCAGGATATACATTGAATGCACACTTTTTTTAAACATTTTTTCATTAATGCAGTTACCTGCTGGCAAAACATTATGATATATTTCAACCCAACCATTTTCTTGTGAACACCATTATGAAATAATTATGCAGGTACCCTGGCTAAATAGAAAAATGTGTAGTATATACAAAATGTTTTAAATGCCACATTCAAACTAAGCGAACGGCATTGAGAAAGGTGTATAAGGGAACAGGGTCGCTTATTTCTGTCATTCATTTGCTTCTCACACCTGTTGCGGACTAGTTCATGAGGCTGGGCTGTCAGGGCGAGCAAGCCATTAGATTTAAGGGAAATGTTAATTAGGAAAGTGATTATTTTGGAGCCTGGAAAATATCATTGTGTAAAGCCATACAGGTACTAGCAAACTCATTCTTATAAACTAGTACGAGGAAGGATACAATATTTTACTTCATAGATTTGATTCACAGGCTGTGCACAAAAATTTAATTGGGCTATTAGAACTAAAATCCCTAAGGAATGATAAAACGTAGCCGGGTTAACACTGAAGTCGCCTCTAGCGTTCAAGTCGTTGTTTTCAAATGTCGGTTTTTTTTTGCGAATACAACAACGTGTATGGTATAAAGACAATGGCTCCGAGAAGCCGAATTAAGTACAAAGATAATAGATTGAAAATGATTGAGATCGTTGCAAAGATGCTTGCAGCAAGGATGCGTTATTTCCAGAAATAGAAGAAAAGGTCGGAGTTTGCCCCAGATGGCCAATACTGAGACGGGCTTAAAACAACAGATATCAACGTCGCGATATTGTGACGAGTCGTTCATAAATTTAACAACCGGGTAAACGAAGTCAAGTTGAAAAGTTTTTTGCCACACAAGCGTTTCACGCCAAGTTTACTGCAATCGTGACAATTATTCGATGGACCATGCCTTTAGCAAAAGTTTTCCATCTGCCAAAATCAAACTTGTTTCAAAAGATGAAGAAAATCAACCATTCATAAGTCCTTGCCATAGTCATTCATAATTTTTTTTCGTTTGATAAAATTGAGTTTTTGTCACACAACATTTCACGATACTGCAATCGTGGCATATTATTCGATGGAGTTTAACAGGCTAGGTTATTATGTATTTACAAAATGGCATTTTGGTTTTGGCAGGTAAGCGCAGTTTAAGAAGCGTGTTTAAGAAAGGTCTAAGGTAGTCTGTTAGTACATATCACAAAGACAAGTGATTCCCAACTTCCGGTTGTAGCCCAATTCATTTCCGCTTTGCTGCTTCCAGCCAAGTTGAGCATACCACTCAAATTACTCAGGATACATTGTGCGTAGTTAAGATGGCGGACAAAGGAGAATGAAAATTTACCCGAAATAATGAGCTCCAAGGGAAAAGATTACAGAAGAATCTCAGGTTTGGCGAAGCCTCTTGCTGATTGCCAAATAGAGGTAAGATTTTAGTCGACTCATCGTGTTCACTACGCTGAAGTAGTACGTGTAGTTAACACAAGGATATGTACGTTTTAACAAAGTCAGCTTCAAGATTGTCCAAGACCTGGTTATTCAGATGCCGGTACACGTTGCTGCTAGGGGTTGCAGCTAGAAAAATTTAGTCGCATTGGCGCCTGTATTAGGCACAATTTTGTTCCATTTTATGCTTATCAGTATGTTCCAGTTTATGCTTACATTTCTTTTTCTGAGTATTGCTCGTATTAATCTTAATCGTGACAAATTACTCAATAGGAAAGTTATTTTAAACCTAGAATAAAAACATGACATCGAAGGCACGTGAGGTTTGGTTTGTTTCTTTTTAACCCTTTAACCCCCAAGATCTGATTGTTAAATCTCCCCTCTAGCTGCTACACATTATCTTGTAAATTAGTTGTAAGAATTTGTTGTTAAATCAGCATAACAACTTTCCCCTGATAAGCTCTAGGATTCTTGTTACCTGTTTGCTGGATAATGTGAGGATATTATCAGGAGAAGTTTCATGTTAATCACTTCTGGGAGTTAAATGGCTAATTAAGCTTACATAGTGCTAAGGATTTACTTATGTTTTTCTCCATGGAAAAATAGCAGTTACATGTAGTTGCTGCTTAAAATGAATTCTTCAGGACAAATTTATCTTCAGGTTTTTTTTATTTATTGTTTTTCTTGTTTTGCTTTATTTTGTTTCAATTTACCCTTCAGCATAATGCAACTTGTGGTTAAATTAATTAAGTGCAGAATGGATTCTTTGGCTCACCACTGAAATGAAACAAAAAAGTTTAGTCAAAGTCATATTTTATTTTTGATTACAACTTATTAAATGGTCGCAGTGTGATAAAGGTGTGAAAAGAGTAACACTAAAGAGTAGTCACATGTCAGCTGTTAAAGCACTATGGTGGTGTGATCTCTGAGATTTGTTTGCCACTGCACTTTAGGATTACAGAGAGTAACTTAACTGTTTAATATGTGTCTTCTTCTGAAATTTTGCCCCCTTATGTGACTTAATTAAAAGAAAGAAGGAAACTTTTAAGAAATGAATGAAATGCTTTCTTGCTGCCAAAAATCACATTGACATAATTTATTTTAAATTCATATAGTTTTTTCTTTCCATTGCATTTTTATAAAACTATTTTGTTTTCAAGTCTGTTACTTTCATATATTTTTTTTAATTAAAAAAATTTAGCCATTCATAAGATTAATTTTTTCTTTCCTAAGTTTCCCATATTTTAGGCTTTGCAGAATTTTGTAAGAGTTTTTTTAACCCTTAAACTCCCAGAGGTGATTAATATGCAACTTCTCCATATAATAAATATACATTTTCCAGCAAACAGGTAATGAGAATACTCAGACTTATCATGTCAAAGTTGTCATCTTGATCTAACACTGAATCCTTGTCCCTAA